CCTTGTTTTCATTGTTTGGGAGGTGGTACAAGGGTGGGAGACCACCTTTTCTCCTTGGAGATCACTTTTCTCCCGCCAGCCGGTTTTCTTGTTAGGAAGCTAGTCTCCTTGGTCTTTGAGCCACATTTACTGGCCTCCCACCATACCACTAGCTTGCATTCAATGTGGAGACCATCAAATGGAGGTTTCAACCACCTTTCATTGGGTTGAACCTTTTGAACTGGTCAGCCGACCGGAGAACGTGGTCGGCCGACCACCTGAACTGGTCGGCCTGCCTCCCCCAGTCTTGTCTCTATGAGTTGTTGCCAGCTGTTTTCTAGAAGTCCTATTAGAAGAGCACTTGATCATTGCTGCTTCTAATTGGAACTTTGGTAATACCGCGGGATGATCATTATCTAGGAAGGAAGTTCGTATGTGTTTATGTGACTACGTGCTTATGTAGAGTGAATTATTGATGGGTTTGAAAATTAGAAGGAAAATTGTAAAATACAAGACTTAAAAGGCCCGTACGGGGGCCGAAATTGTGAAATGACCACCGAAACCACTGAAACTTGGCACGGACAGCTGGTTAAGGCCTAAATGGACTTGTAGGAACAAACGGGACCTCTATTGGATCTCCGGTTGGAAAATTAGAAGGAAAATTGTAAAATACAAGACTTAAAAGGCCCGTTCGGGGGCCGAAATTTTGAAATGACCACCGAAACCACTGAAACTTGGCACGGACAGCTGGTTAAGGCCTAAATGGACTTGTAGGAACAAACGGGACCTCTATTGGATCTCCGGTTGGAAAATTAGAAGGAAAATTGTAAAATACAAGACTTAAAAGGCCCGTACGGGGGCCGAAATTGTGAAATGACCACCGAAACCATCGAAACTTAGCATGGACAGCTTGTTTTGTTTTGTTTCTTTTTTTTTTTTTGTCAATCTAATATTTTTTTGTTTTTTCATGTGACAGATTGGCAATGGGGGAAAATAGTTTGGGCTGCATCAGAAGATTTGATTTTGTGTTTTTGGAAATATTTTGACATAGGATTTTGGTAAATGATTTATGGATTAAATGTTTAGCATCAAAATATTTGGTGTTGTATTTTTGCAAATATTTTGACATAGGATTTTAGTAATTGACTTGTTGGTTAGATGTTTAACATCAAAATATTTGGTTGTAATTTTGAAAATATTTTGACATAGCATTTGGTAATGTATTTATGGGTTTGATGTTAGTAGTTTGTAAGTACTTTGGCATGCATGTTTTAGATTGTCAGAGAATTGTAATTATGTTTATTGGGATTTTTCATAGCTATTAATTTTGAATTAGTATGAATGTCTTGCACAGGTGTATTATTATTCACATTACATTTGTGTATATATTGTGCACAGGAAAACATGTGTTTTGGATTATTTTGAACAGGAAAATTATTAAAATCAAAATTTATGTACTGAATTTTTAGTGATAGGTGGTATTTTGGTCGCTATTAATATATTTGGCGACAACATATTGTTTTTGTTGCTAAAAGTTAGTGGTTATTCCAAGAACTTTTCGCAACCAAAACTTATTTGTCGCTAAAAACGTGATTTTTAGCGACCAAATTAATTTTGTCGTTAAATAGTACTTTTGGCGACGCATTTATTTGTCGCTAAAACTACAGGGCCTATCCAAATTTCAACCTTTTAGCAACAAATTGTAATTTTATAGCGACAAAATATATGATTTTTGGCGACAAATTTTCTTGTTACTAAATGTCTACATACGACGACAATTTCTGATTTCGTCGCCAATACTTTTAGTGACAGGCCTTTGGCGACAAATTGTATATTTGTCGCAGATTCTTTTGGCGACGAAATTTGTACTTTTGGCGACCAATTTCTGGGTCGCCAAATGTGTATTTTGTTGTAGTGCGCGATTTAAAACTATGGTAATGATACATTTTCTAATTTTGAAGTTCTAACTGAACTCTCATAATGTGACAAAAAAAAATCACCATCACTGTAAAACCCACACACTTAGAACTCCCAAACATTTTTCCAAAAAAATTACTTATTATTTTTTTATACTATTGGACCTCTTCACTTTTTTATCCCTTCACACATCCTTTTACAAAAAAAAAATAAAAAATAAAAAATAAAAAATAAACTAAAATATTCTATTCCTAAACAACACGGAAGACATAATCCAGGATTGTAAATCTACATCAGTACATACATACATACACATATACACGCATATATAGTAGTTTTTTTGGGGGGTCATGGCCAATTTGAGTAGTTAAAGAGCGGATTAACTAACGAGGAAACTATCTGTCTCTCTCTAATACTCTCTTTCTGATATATGCTTCTTTGATTCAGGACAATGCGTCGAGTCTGGCCTCCCGGGTTAAGAAAACTGATGCAAGGGAAATCGAGAGCTTCTACCAACAATGCTATGAACACTACATCAGAGCACTGGACAAGGGGGAACAATCAGATAGGTACTGTATCTATCTATAACAACACCTCAATCAAATATATATATATTTTTGGATTCATTCATTGATTTTCCTTGTAATTTTGGTTCCACTGCTTACTGGTTTTCAATGGAAGGCAATTGATATGCACTTCATGCTGCCAATATTTAAATTTCTTGATAGAGCCCAACTCGGCAAAGCTTACCAGACAGCCGGAGTTCTTTTTGAAGTCCTCTATGCCGTTAACAAAACTGAAAAAGTGGAAGAAGTTGCTCACGAATGCTCATTCTAACCGAACTGTCGCTAATTTATAGTACATGTTTTTATCAATTTTAAAATTAAAATGGGTTTCATGTTGTGCTTCTTTTTGTATATTTTGATAGAAAATTTAGTGGCATAATGACATTAGCAATTGTATTTATTTATTTATTTTTGTGGGAACAGATTATTGCTGCAGCAAAAGATGTCCAGGCAAAAAGGTTGGCGGTTTCATTTTTGTGAATTTTTGAGTCAAGCTGATAATATCGTTGTTTTCCGGTTCAACTTGGACCGGAGGGGGCGAATGAGGCAGAGGTTGTTGTCTTTGTTGCTGTCTCGTTGATTCAACTAGGGCTTCGAGCATTTGTTCCATTCGGCTCATGCGAGCCTCTGAAGATTTAGCTGTACCGTCACTTGTATTTTCCATTTGTTATAAGTAAGCAAGGCAATAATAAACATAGGAATAATCTTGTTCACAGTACTCGGAGTATTCAATTTCAGTTCATTCTTTTCAATTTCATGTGTTTATGTTCAGATTCAGTTTCCACATTTACATAAATTAACACACGCACTCACACATGCAGATGTAATGTCCCTAATTCTTTTCTAGGACATTCTATAGCTCATATGGACTTGTGTGTGCACTATAACTCGTGCTCTGATACCACTCTGTCAGACCCAAACCTGCCTCTATAGATCTAGCGTCGTAGCCGGTCAGTAATCCTTGGATTACCAAAGGCCTCTGTACAGAATAATATATAATTCAGGGGCTAGCTAGCAGAAGCATATATATAAAACATACATAGTCCGTTGAGCTGTGTAGGCATACATAAGACAGAAATTTCAAACTTTATATACACACACATAACATCATAACTACAGTAGTCTTACGTCACCCACTTATACAAATAAAACCAAAATGAGACTTAGCCCAATATACAAGTAAATAGAAACTTGTTTAAGATACACAAAAAGAAAACAAGATCTTTAACACAGATCACAAAACATGACCACTTGACTTTTTCCATAACCTCCTTGGGAGGAACAATGGTTAGCCGACAAAACAAAATTCCAGGCGATCATCATTGAGCCTGGCCACGCGTTTGATCACCTACATACATAAATAATACAACGAGTTAATAAGGTAAAGGCTTTAATGAACATTGTCCATAAAGTTTCAGAAATCAGAATTCAGTAGTTAACATAAACGGATTCATAATCATGTTTAGAAATTAGAGTTCATAATAGAAGTAGATTCAGAATCATACTCATAATCAGAATTTGCGGTTAAACATACGTGGTACATTTATTAGCACTAGCAGAAATAGTTAACCTACAAAGAGACGACCATAAAGGCATACAGTTGACTCACGTGCACGAAGACGGTATAGTTGGCTCATGAAACGTACAGTTGATCCATAAAGGGACGTATACAGAAGGATTCATAGCAGTTGGCTCATGAGACGTACGGTTGACCCATAATTGGGACATAACAAAATAGATAACAGATATCATCTGAAGCTAAGAATGCCACGAATACATTTTAGAAATATTGAATAACCATTCATTCATGCAGAAAATAATATTTCAAAAAACAGTTGATCTTATACCATTTAGAAAATAATTAAAATTAAACATAACTTTACAGAGTTATGACTCACAGATGGCCCCAGAAACAGACAGACAGAGCAGACAGATCAAATAGCTTACGATGCTTGACCTACACAACATAACATATACACATATTGAAACACACACTCGGAAAATACTTAACTCATTGCGTTTCATTCTTAGTGTGTTTCTAAGTCTTATCCTCATTATTATGTCTTAATTAGAGCTTAAGAATGCCTAATATGCAATGAGGATGCCAAAATGTGATTCAAAACACTTGGTCAAATTTGCTGAAAACAAGGTCCTTGCTCGAGCACAATTTTCTTCGCTCAAGCGGAGGTTCAAAAATAAGGGTGGTGGCTCGAGTGCAACTTCGGTCGCTCGAGCAGTCTGTAAACTCCGCAAAAGTACTGGTTGCGTGATTTCTCCGCTCGATGGTCGCTTGAGCATAAGACTAGGGTCTCCGCTCGAGCGCAACTCTGGTCGCTCGAGTGGTCTGCAAAATTTGTAAACTTCCGGAAGCATGAATTTTATGCTCGAGCCAATTTTTGCTCGCTTGAACGAAAGTGCAAAATCAAGAGTGGTCGCTCGAGCAGTGAGACAGAATTCTAGAATTTTCAGATTGCACTCTTAAGTCCAAAACTTGAATTCAAGCCTTCAAACACAACTTTTGAGCCCTAAAACTTGAGAAAACATGTCTAAACTTGCAAAACATCAAGGATTAAGAATCATTCACATAATCAAGGCTTAAAAGTAAGTCAATTGTTCAAAATTCAACTTGAAACTTTTAAAACAATACATGCATGAATTCACATGACTTTCAACCTTTCAAAACATGATCAAATGACATAAAATGACATGAAACTTGATGAATTCCCAAAACTAAGGTGAAATAGTAACATGCAAGAGGAAATTCTTGGGAAAATAATTTCAAAATGCTATGAAATATGCATGCGTGCATGCATGGCTTGAGTTTTAACTCTTCAATTTTAGCTCAATTCTCGTGATTCATCTCCCAATTCACTTGAATTCTAACATTAGCTATCTCAATTACATAACTAAAGTGTTGAGTTCTTACATTAGGCATTTCTGTAATTGCATTTTTGCATGTGTTGCATTAGGCATTTCTGTATAGTTAGGATCATGCATTGATTTCTAACTATTTTCTGTTTTGGCTTGGAGTACTCGGTAAGTGTTTATGCTTTAGCATCCCCGCACGTGTGTGAGTGACTGCCATGATAGCATGCTTACCATGAGGCTAATTGCTTATGTGATATACCTGCCTGAATGCCTGTGGGTGAAGGTTGGGTTATTTGGATTGGAACAATTCATCAATTGTGAGTTTTAAGCCCACTTGAGAGTGGCAAATCATCATGTTTTCTAAGCCCACCTAAGGGTGGCAAATCCACATTTTAGCCTACTTGCGAGTAGCAAACCGTTTTCAAAACAAACATGAGATGTTTCGTTTCAATTCAGGCGACCCAGTCTATACTTGTATGCTGTGCGCATCACGTAGTAAATCTAGGCTAATAACCGAAATAAGAATGCATAATGTTTTCAAAACTTGATATCATGGTTAGTAGAGGCCGATCTTTGATTTGGCGAGCGAGGGTGCTCACGAAGTGACCTTCCCCAATTGTACCCAAGTTCCCGAGCCGAGGCAACTTTGGTGATGACGGACACGTGGCCTTAGGCAACGAGTCAGGGTTTCCTAAATTTTTCAAAATAAAATATTTAGGTGGCGACTCAGTATCTGGCAAAGCGGTCCATGTTTGGCACTTCTTTCAAACAAATCTGTTTTCAAAAATGATTTGCCGGATTTGGACTCTTTGATGATTCATCGGTCTTGCATTGCACTCTGCGAGATTAGATACAGGACCATGACTTTGAGTCCTGAACTGTGGTGAGCCCAAATGAACAGAACGGGACTCATCCTCCTGGGACGTTCGAGGACGATGATTTATGTCTTGCCCACACGGATGAGGATTGGGGGAGCAATCAGCCAGATGATACTTGGTATATCGACGAAGTCGATCATACGACCAGGAGCGGGCGGTATTTCATGCCCCTGCACCTAGACCAGCCAGAGGCATCTGGGAAAGATAAGGAGGCAAAGAAGCAGAAAGAGAAGCAACTCGAAGAAGAGGCTGTACTGAAGCAGTTGAAAAAGATACAGGCAGACATCTCCATCTGGGGACTGCTTATGGCATCACGAGTGTATCGACAAGCTGTCTTATCGGCCATGGACAAGGCCAAGCTCTCAATCGGCACCACGCCCGAGTAGCTGGTGGGCTTAGTTTTTTCGAGAGAGGCTACCCCGGTGTTGACTTTCTTCGACAAAGAATTGCCACCTGAGGGCGCGAACCATAACAAGCCACTCTACATTTCTGTGGAGTGTAGAAACAAATGGATACCTGTGGTGCTTGTCGACACAGGGTCCGCCATCAATGTGTGCCCAGCAAGGACTGCATATGCAATCGGTTTAAAGATCGCAGATTTTGTGCCGACAGCCCAGGTGATTCGGGCATATGACAACACAAGTAGAGAAGTAATGGGGACAATGAGAATTCAGACCAAGGTTGGGCCGAGATAGCATGAGGTCGACTTCCACGTCTTAGAAGTTCCTACAACTTCCAATATGCTCTTGGGGCGACCGTGGCTGCACCAGGTGAAGGCAGTTTCGTCCACCTTGCATCAGATGGTGAAATACCCCCATGAGAAGGGGGTAGCCATTGTTTTTGGGAATTCATCGATCCATCCACTGCCGGAAGTATCTACGTCAGTTTTGGAAATTGAGCACAGTATGGAGGATGTGTTCTTATCTGGTTTTACCCTAGCTGAAGCCCGGGTCGTGTAGAACATCTTAGCTGTTAATGAGAGGGTGTATGTCAGTGCTCAATCGGTATACCTCATGAACAAGTTTCAACACATCCCCGGGATGGGATTGGGAAAGAGCGGCCGGAAGGGCGTCGCAACATTGGCCGAGGTGCCATACAATCCACATACCTTTGGCTTGGGTTATCTGCCCACCAAAGAGGATTGGATAAGGAAGCGTAAGGAGATGGCTGGGAGAGCTAGAGCGAAGAAGGCGAGGAAGCCTTTTGACTTAATGCACCGGCCCATTCAAGGTACCCTAAACGGACGCTTCGTCCGGGAAAGGGGGACTTTTCGTTTTGTGGCTTCCCAGAACCGTGGTTGAACGTAGAAAGGAAGCGCATGCTGGGGTTTGAGATCTTCTTTGACCTGCAGTTATCCGGGGATGACGTTGCCGAAGAGCAGACAGACCCATTAGCTGAGGTTGAGCAGAGTAAGAAAGTGGAGTCTGAGGACGCCGAAAGTGAAATGGGGGTAGCGTTGGCGTGTCTACTTTCAGATCCTCCGATCGAACAGAAGTGCTTGGGGGATAACTTCTTGGTATGCGTGATTGAGAATGAAACGGCTGCGGGCCTACCAGCAAACATTTTGGATGCATTTATCGCACCCTCTCTCATTTGGCATTATGAAGAGGGATTTTTGTCAAGCAGCACCGGGTCAGGTAGTGAGTCGGAATTTGATTCCACCGAGTCTGTTGAGTCAGAATCAGGTTCCAGCTCGACTGAGTCTGAGTTTGGTATTCCAGGGGGTGATAACCCGGATACCACAGTCCTGTCCAGGTCGTCTTTTTCTTTCTCTTTTGAGTCTGTTGTAACCGAAGAATCAGACGATTTGGATGTGCTGAATGAGAATGATGTGGCTGTGATTTCTGAGTACTTTTCTGTGCCATTGATTTATTGCATTAACTCAGACTTTCAAAATTTTGATGAAAACGACGAGGAAGAAATTCCTCCGGTTTTACAACGCTTAATTGAACAAGAGCAAGAAAGATTTGTTAAACCCTTAATGGA